AACATTATTAGCTGACCGACTGTACAAAAACACGCCAGGCCCAACAGGCCACCACAGTTTGCCAATTTCTGCTCTCAATGGTCGGTTTACTTTTATCCATTTTTGTTTCTGGTTATTTTTTTTCTTTGAAATTATTTGATTTCCATATAGTTAATTCAGATTTGCATATAATTAAGTCTGTTTCATATTTCTATTTCACCATTTTATCATGTCCTCTTGCAGTTTTAGAGGCAAGTCCACACAAAAGAAAAAAAAAAAAAAACAGAAGGAGAAAGTAATAAAAATAATGAGTAAAAATGAAGACGAGGAAAAGCAAAAAAAACCCTGAAGGGTCTAGCCGGTGTGGTTCAGTGGTTGAGCATCGACCCATGCACCAATAGATCACCGGTTCAATTCCCGGTCAGGACACATGCCCAGGTTGTGGGCCAAATCCCCAGTGAGGGGCATGTGGGAGGTGGCCAATCATTGTTCTCTCTCATCGATATTTCTATCTCTCTCTAAAATCAATAAAGAAAAAAAAAGTTTAGCCCTGGCCGGTTTGGCTCAGCGGTTAGAGCGTCAGCCTGAGGTCCAGAGAGACCCGGGTTCGGTTCCCGCTAAGGGCACGTACCTTGGTTGCAGTTTGTCCCCAGCTCTGGCTGGGTCATGTGGGTGGCAACCACTCAATGTGTCCCTTTCACATCGATGTTTCTCTCTCTCTCTCCCCCCCTCCCACTCTATCTGAACAAAAAAATGGAAAAATGTCCTCGGGTAAGGATTAAAAAAAAAACAAAAAAACCTGAAGGGTACAAAACAATGATGGAATGAATCAAGAGGTAGTACTTCAATGGAAGTAACATCTGAAAAAGATAAAATAAGCCTAGAAATAAATAACAAAACTTAATCTGAATGAAACTTTTGAATGACAGTTCTAGAAAGGCATGAGGAAAAGAGCTCATGTCAAACTTGAGATATTTGTCAGCATAAGAACCCTGGTGCCTCCTCTCCAACATTTTCTCAATGTCCATGCCAGAGGGCCACCTGGAGTGACTTCTTTGAAGGGAGGAGGACTTAGGTCACTACACCTCCAGGCCTCCTCCCATTCTACATAAATCCATCTTCCCCACTGCTGCCATAGACAATCCCCTGAAAAAAATCATCTCATCATGACAGCCCCTCCTCCCCTCCACTCCCATTTAACCCTATGGCCCACCAAATAATGTCCATACTCCTTAGTGCAGCACGTTAGGTTTACATAATCTGACATTACCCCACATCCCATCCTCTCCTTAATCAGTTTCTCTACCAACAGTGTTCCTAAAATCACCTTGGACATTAATCAAAATGAAAATTCCAAGGCTCCATTCTTTTCCCTGGAATTGATCCCCAGGTAGAGTGTGATAAACTACATTTAACAAGTAACCCAGCACCCTGGCCGGTTTGGCTCAGCGGTTGGAGCGTCGGCCTGCGGTCCGGAGAGACCCGGGTTCGGTTCCCGCTAAGGGCACGTACTTCGGTTGCAGTTTGTCCCCGGCCCTGGTTGGTTGTGCGGGTGGCAGCCACTCGATGTGTCCCTTCACGTCGATGTTTCTCACTCTCTCTCCCTTCCTCTCTCTCCCTCCCATTCTATGTGTGCAAAAAATGGAAAAATATCCTCGGGTGAGGATAAAAACAAAAACAAGTAACCCAGGTGAAAATGAACTGAATTGCCAGAGGTCCACACTAGGTGAACTATACTTTCAGAGAGGTCACTCACCTCTCCCTTTCTCTCACACAGGAGGGTCACCTACCCCATCTCCTGAGTCTCCACCGCCCCCTTCACTTTCCCAAACAAGCTCACTATGAAATCAGAGGATCTATCAGAGTTTTAATTTAACAGCCCAGTTTAAATTATACACTGCCCATAGCACCAGTCTGAGGCTGTTTTCTCTACTGAGATCCCACCCATCTTCCAAGGCTGGGTTCAAATGCCACCTTCCAGGCATCCTTAACTAGGCATCAGTTTCTCTTTCCTCCAAATTCTACCATGTTTTTTTTATATGTCTATTATCACTTATCTAATTTTGCCTTATTTGTATCTGGATTGCTTTTGAGGGTAGGGTGAAACGTTCACACTGTGCACTCCAGGGTGCCCCAAATAGTACCTTTGAAAGGTTTTAAATTGAGTTATTAGTCAAAAACCTCCTGAGATGCCATTAGACCTATGTGAATCTACCTTGTGCTCTACAAAGATACATTTTAGAGATTCCAATTGCCAAACAATAGCTAGCAGGATTTGCAAACTGGCAGAAACATCAATCAGTTTTTGTTATGTCTTGCCTGGTTTTCAAAAATGGAATCTGAATGTATTTGGGCAAGGCACAGACAGGATTCATTTTCACAAAGGCCCCACCATCTATCTATTCACTCGATAATGCTGTCTGTCCCTCCACTGAGGTGGTCTTTGAGATCGCAACTCCTACTCAGCTAGGAAAGCAGAAACTATGTAATGGATGACGAGTAGGAAAACTCAACAGTGCACACAGGGAGGGTCTGAGAAACCAAGGCAGACCAAGATGAAAGCATGAAAACCACAGAGAAACTATGGAAGAAAACCAGTAAGAAGATCAATTGAAAAAGAAAAAGTATATCGACAGATAGGAAGAAATATTAAACTTGCATGAGGTATGACGACTACTGAAAACGCTAGGAAGAAAATAAATTTTTCTTAAAATTAAAAACTTTCGCAGAAAAAAATCAACAGGCTGTTTTATGAAGAGTTGTGTTAACCTTGAAATTTGAACATGGGTTTGTTTTAAAAAAAAACACACACACACACACAAAATCTCCTAAGGGGAAAAAAATCATTAAATGATACCAGCAGTTATTATATAAATACCATAGTGGTTGCTTCTCAAAGGTTTATTTATATCCTACACTTAAAAAATGCCCTGGCCGCCCTGGCCAGTTTGGCTCAGCAGTTAGAGCATTGGCCTGCGGTCCAGAGAGACCCATGTTCGGTTCCTGCTAAGGGCATGTACCCCAGTTGCAGTTTGTCCCCGGCCCTGCTTGGTCGTGCGGGTGGCAGCCACTCAGTGTGTCCCTTTCACATCGATGTTTCTCTCTCTCTCCCTCTCACTCTATCTGAACAAAACATGGGGGGTAAAAAAACGCCCTGGCCGGTGCTCCGTGGTTAGAGCATCGGCCCGCGGACTGGAGAGACCCGGGTTCGGTTCCCGCTAAGGGCACGTACCTCAGTTGCAGTTTGTCCCCGGCCCTGGTTGGGTTGTGCAGGTAGCAACCACTCAATATGTCTCTCTCTCATTGATGTTTCTCTCTCTCTTCTCCCTTCTCTCCCTCCAGCTCCATCTGAAGATAAATGCAAAAATGTGCTCAGGTGAGAATAAAAAAATATATATATCAGCCCTGGCCGGTTTGGCTCAGCGGTTAGAGCGTCGGCCTGCGGTACAGAGAGACCCGGGTTCGGTTCCCGCTAAGGGCATGTACCTCGGTTGCAGTTTGTCCCCGGCCCTGGTTGGTCGTGCGGGTGGCAGCCACTCGATGTGTCCCTTCACATCGATGTTTCTCTCGCTTTCTCTTCCTCTCTCTCCCTCCCGCTCTATCTGAACAAAAAAAAAAAAAAAGGAAAAATGTCCTCGGGTGAGGATAAAAAATATATATATATATCAAAAACTATAATCTTAACATTTCACAAAAGCACTCTTTACATTACTTTAAGATGTTTACCTGCTAACTCAAATGCAAAAATAGATTTGAAATTAAGAGATGTGAGGGGGTACTTTCTTGATCTGGTAATGTATGGTTCAGCCTTACACAAAGGTGCAAGAACAGAACTTCACCCCCCACTGCCTTCTGCTAATCTCTTCATCAAAAGGCCAGGAGACTTAATCCACAGCCCCGAGTTCACAAATCCCACTGCTTCCCCATGAAGCACAGTGGGATTAATTATAACAAATGAGTTGCACATCATCTTTATACTTGGAATATTAATCTTAGTCATTTACAGCCTACTCTCAACCCCCAATGGGAGCTTGCAAACCGAGACAAGCCCAAGACACCACAGTAAACCCAAAAGCGAGATTTCTGATCACTGTGGGATTTATAGAAGAGACATTCCAGGCCAAGGTGGAAGCAAAGTTCTTTCGTCAAAATAACTGTTGATCTGCCCAGCCTGAAATGATCTGTTTTCTGTTTTAATAAGCGAAACCAGCATCTCTGCCTTGTAAATGGAGCCTCTCTTGCACTGGCAGACACTCTGGAAGCCGCTGTACCGCGCATCGCTGCGGAGAATCCCGCGTCAATGAGAGCCGAGCGGGCCTCGCGTCGCCGGCCTCGCGCGTCGCCGGCCTCGCGCGTCGCCAGCCTCGCGCGTCGCCGGCCTCGCGTCGAAGGAAGACGCCGCCGTCGCGAACCCGCAGTAAGAGCAGCAGCAAAGGAAGCCCGGCGTGTGGGTCTGTTGGACAGTCCCAGACTAAGTGGCAAAAACAGTCGCGGGAGAAGGGCTCTCCCCAGCTGGAATGTCCGAACACACCCAAATGCCCCCAAGGCCCCACACGCAACACCTGGATCCGGCCTGGCCCTCCGCGGCCCGAAACCCGCTCAGCCGGCGGGCTCGGCGACTCGGAACCGCCTGACTTCCCCCCACGACTTAACGAAAGAGCCGCAACGGCCTCGCCAAGCGCACTCTCGAGGGGCATCCCTGCTCTCTGGGGTCTTCCGCTTTCCTCCCGCGAGGCCCCCCAGACACACCCCGAACCTCCCCCGTCGGCTCCCGTCCCCCGCGTCCCCGCGCCCCGACCCTTTCCTCCAGCCCTCCCCTCGGGCCGCCCCTTCTCACGACCCCCGACCTCCCCGCCACCCCGAAACCTCACGGTCGCCCTCGGCAGCGCGCCCCCGCCCCCGCCCCCACCTCGCCCTCGGTGGCCCGGGGGAGGGGACCCTCGCCCCAGCCACGCCCCCCGCAGATAATGGGTGCCATGGCGGCCCCCGCGCGCCCCCCGCGGCCGGGCAGCCTCGCTCACCCACACGAAGAGGCTGTCGGAGAGCAGGTACTGGGCCACGTCGCGGACCCCGGGTCCCCCGGCGCTCAGCCGGGCGGCCGCGGCCGGATCCGGCTGCACCGGGGCCGCTATGAGCTCCGGCTCGCCGGGCCCCGGCGCGGCCTCGGCCTCGGGCTGGCTGAGGGCGCGGTAGGCGCTGACGATGGTGCCGAGCAGGGCCAGGCCGCTGAGGGCCGTGTAGGTGCGGAGGCTGGGCCAGGGGAAGCGCTCGAGGAAGAGCAGCGGCATGGCGGCAGCGGCGGCCTCCAGCCCCCAGGCCTCCCCGCGCTGCGGCCGGGCCCCCGCGGCGGCCTCGCGAACGGCGCCCACAGCCTCTGGCGTCGCTGCTGCCGCTGCCGCTGCCGCTGCCGCTGCCGCCGCCGCCGCCGCCGCGCCGGGCCGGGCTGGGCCGCTCCTGGCCGCTCGCGCCGCTCCCGCTGCTGCCCCTGCCGGCGCGGAAGAGCCTCGGCGGGCTCGGGGCGGGTCGCCGCCTCCAGCAGGGTGCGGGCGGGACGGGCGCGGGGGCGCGGCCTCGGTCCCCCGCCCCCAGCGGTCGCGCCGCCGCCTGGCCGGGTAGGGCCGCGGCCGCGGGCCCTGGGTCCCTGCACCCAGCATTATCCTCGCCGACCGCCGGCTGGCCGGGCCGCAGACCCAACGGACAGCCGCCGGGGCGAGCCGACGCGCGTCACTCAGCCCGCCGGCGCTGACGGGAGGTCGAGCCCAGGCCGCGTGGCTGGTCGGCAGGACTCAGGGACCTGGGCCACCAGGCGTCCGGCCACTTCATGTTCTTGAGGCCCCCCACCCCCCGGGAGGTTACCCCTGAGCACCCCGTGGGCCTAGCAGCTTCCCTGGTGGACAAAAGCGATGAAAATAGAGGACCTGACCCCAAAACAAAGACTATTAATGAAGTCTTAAACTGGTTGCCAATTAAAAACTGTCAAGTTTCTGCTGTTTACTAGTAGCCTCGAGCAAAATTTAAAACGAACCTGATTTAGCAGAAAATAAAAATCTGTTTCCTCATACACCAGGTAGAAATGTCAAATAAGGTACCGCTACTTTGGAAAATAGTTCCTAAAAATAAATTCAACATGAGAGTGACCATTTTACCTAGCAATTCCACTGCTAGAGGAATACCCAAAGAAATGAAAACATAATCCACATAAAACTTGCAGGTGTTGATAGCATCATTATTTGGTAACGACCCTAATGTCCATCAAGGGATGAATCAAAAAATAAAGATACAGTGGAATTTTATTCGGCCATAAAACCGAGGGAAGTACTGACACATGTTACAACCTGGCCAAGCCTTGAAAACATTTACTGAAAGCAGCCCAGACCAAAAGGGCACATGTTGTAATTCCATTTATGTGAAATGTCCAGAATAGGCAAATACATTTATAGATGCAGAAAGTAGATTAATGGTTGCTTAGGGATAGGGGCATGATAGAACTGGGGGGTGGGGCTCAATATGGATTTCTTTGTGAAGTAATGAAAATGTTCTAAAATTGTGATGGTTGCACAACCCTGAATATACTAAAAATCATTCACTTGGCAGTTTAAATGGTGACATATGTCTCAATATGTGAATTACAGTTCAATAAAGCTCATTACCAAAAAAAAAAACAGCAAAAGTGTTACTTTGGTTTATTCATCCCCGTGTTCCCAAGACCTATAATAGTGCCTGGCCCACAGTAGGTGTTCAGTAAGTACTTATTGAATCTTACAAACTTTCAAAAGGACTAAATTATCTTCAAAGTCTCTTTTATTCTTAATATTCTAATATTTTAAATCTAGTAATTAGAGAAAGGATGGGAATTCCAAAACGGCGGCGGAGTGAATAGAAGCTACACAGACCCTGTCCCGGGACCAAACTGGAATTACAACTAACATAAAGACAAATCGTCGGGATAAAATCTAATAATTAGAAAACAACAAAAAAGATTTCTCCAGGTCATTGTCACCCATCTTAGAATTTTTAGAAGCATCCGTGACAGAACACAATAGTTCTGCTTTTGGCGGGGAAGGGGGACAAGTGGTTACTCCTCCCCCATCCCCAACTTTTTTATGAGGCCTATATGAATATTACACTTCAGTTCTCTTTGGTCCTCTCCCCACAGCCATTTGGTTAAAATGATAAACTTTCAATTGTATTGGTAAAGCTTTGTTTTGAAAAAATGATTGTAATTGTCCAGAGAAGTATTCTACTTTATCTGAGCCCCATAATTTCTAAACCAGCCTGACTAGTGTGGCTCAGTTTTTGAGCACTGACCCATGCACCGAGAGGTCAATTCCCAGTCAGGGCATAGTCCCAGGTTGTGGGCCAAATCCCCAAATGGAAGCATGCACGAGGCGGCCAATCGATGTTCTCTCTCCCTCTCCCTTCCTCTCTCTCTAAAATCAATAAAGAAAAAAAAAATTTAGCGCAGCCGGTGTGGCTCAGTGGTTGAGCATCGACCCATGCACCAAGAGGTTGCCAGTTCAATTTCTGGTCAGGGCACATGCCCAGGTTGTGGGCCCAATCCCCAGCGGGGGACATGCAGGAGGCAGCCAATCAATGTTCTCTCTCATCGATGTTTCTAACCCTCTCTCTCTCCTTTCCTCTCTCTAAAATTAATAAAGAAAAAAATTATTTAAAAAAATGTCTAAACCATTATCAGATGATCAATGTTCAATCCAAGTCACTATAGTAGTCACTATAGTTACCAAATACCACAGCCAACTTGTCCTGTCGCAATAAAGAAATGCTGTTAATATATATGCCCTTATTATTTTACAATATTCCACCACCTTAAATTTCAGTTCTGTACTCTTTTGTAATCATATAATCACTGCTAAGTTAAAAAAAAAAAAAACTTTAGACTACCTGTTTTCTGTAATAATTTATAAAGTGTTTAATAGCAACTCTTTACTTTTGGTTCTGACTACGTAAGAACTATAAATTAATCGAAAACTTTTAGAAACTTGAACTTTCTTAAGATTCAATACGAGAATAGGTGAAATTAACCCTCTATATAGGTATTGTTTATTTGCATTTTAAAAGGTTTTTAAAGGTTTGTGTCTGGATACTTTACTAGGATATTAGTTTTGTTCTATCAACATTTTTTCCTCTCCCCCTCCAAGAAGGTAGCCAGGCTTTTGCACATCCTTCCCTGAGGATTTTTTTGTTAAGGACATTACCCACCTTCTAAAATCAACCAATATTTCTGGTTCTTTGTACTGGGTCCTACTCCATGACAGGACCAGGGCAGGAGGCAAGACACAGAAGGGATGAATACTGTACCCTGGAAGGCTGGACAATAAGCATAGGGACTACCTGTGTCAATTGAGTCCCAAGGCCAAAGTGTGGCAGGGAGGCAAGGTGCTAGACTTTAAAAAGGCGGTAGACTTGGACAAGAATGTATCTGTGGAGTTTACCAGAGTAGAGCTCCCTCCACCTCCACCTTCATTTCAGAGTACCATTTATGCCTTCAGAATTGATTCTTGTGAGACATGGGTAGGCCTCCAACTCCCAATCATGGCTGAGAGACTGAACTTCCTGCCATCTTTGTGAGATGGTGGCTGCTGTGGTTTGATTTAAAGGAAATAAATGTGTCATATAGGCAACAGTATGGTGATTACCAGACACAAAGGGGGTGGGGGGAGGTAGAAGAGGGTGTAAAGGGAATAAATGTTGATGGAAGGAGATTTGATTTGGGGTGAACACACAATACTATATACAGATGATGTATTACAGAACTGTACACCTGAAACCTATATAGTTTTGTTAATCAGTCACCCCAATAAATTCAATTTTAAAAAATGTCATTTCAGACAAACCAGAGTTTATGTAGAGCAATATTCACAACTAGATACATTGTTGCTATTTTCATGTTTTGAAATACTTGAAATCTGTCCTGGCTGGTTTGGCTCAGTGGAAATGTCAGCCCTCGGACCAATGAGTCGCGGTTTTGATTCCGGCCAAGGGCATGTACCTGGGTCGCAGTTCGGTCCCGGCCCTGGTCGGGGTTATAGGGGAGGCAACCAGTAGATATGTCCCTCTCACGTCAATGTTTCTCTCTCTCCCCTTCTCTCCCTCTCCCCGTCTCCCACTGTCTGAAGACAAATAGAAAAATATTCTTGGGTAAGAATGAAAATAAATAAATAAAATACTTGAAATCCTTTCATATTCATGATCTTACTTGATTTTCACTATCCGGTGAGAAAGGATGAGTAGTTTTAAGATTCTCAACACCCTAGGAGGTAAACTTTGTTGTCTAATCCAGTAGCCTTAAATGTACTCCCATGGAATTCTGGTGTTTCCCTAAGTGGGACCAATGTGTCCCATTACAATATCCAGCAGATGAGGGAAAATAACTAACTTCTCAAGTTTGTATGGAAAAAACTAAGTTAATGGGTACATTTCAATTTTTAGCTTTTCTTTCATAATTTTTCAGAACTTCGCAATAACTTTATCAGGTTTTGTTCAGATATAAAGCAGCCTCAAGGCTATGATTTTATCACATGTATGTCTCATATCTTCGATAAATTTCCACTTAAGATGCTGAAATTAATGTACACCGTATTACATAAGCAGCAAGCATGGTGTCACAGAACATCATGACGTCAGGCAAGTTTGAAAAAACAAACACACATTGGAATCAACACTGTCTTTACAGGTGAAGAAACTGAGTCACCAGTGATATAACGACACAGTTAACACAATTATGTGGCAACTTCTAAATGGGTCTTCAGTCCAGCCGGTGTGGCTCAGTGGTTGAGCGTCGACCCATGCACCAAGAGGTCACCAGTTCAATTCCCAGCCAGGACACATGCCTAGGTTGTGGGGCCTGATCCTCAGTGTGGGGCATGCAGGAGGTGGCCAATCGATGTTCTCTCATTGATGTTTCCATCTCTCTCTCTCCCTCTCAATTCCTCTCTCTTTAGAATCGCTAAAGAAAAAAAAATTTTTTTTAAATAAATAAATGTGTCTTCAGGTTCCCTATGCAGTGTGACCCCCTTCACAATGCAGGATACTGAGTCCGCCTTAGTGCACTTCTATCACACAATGGAGTGCAAGGGAGGGCAACACTGGTGTGCCAGGTCTTCAGGCCCTTGCTCTAAGGCTGAGCTGCCTCTTACCAAATGGCCCCTGGCCACAGACACGGAAAAAGAAGCCTACAGGATTTCTAATTGTAGCCACAAGCACATTCACAGAGTCATTGTTTTACATTGTTTTAATTGAAATGACAATAAAATAAAATTTAAAAAGAACAGTGACCATTTTAATCAAACTTTTACTTTACAAATATAAAAATATATAACCAAAACTTCAGTTCTTTTTATACATTTTCTATAAATTTATAAGAAAACTTAATACAAGAAAAATTCTCCAAGCACAAATATAAATGATGCCTGTACTCTAGGATGTGAACACAGTAACCAAAAGTTTAAGTTTATAAATGTAGTGATCCTTCCCTCAACAAAACAGCATACATAATATAATTCCCTGATCTATCTCTAGTCTCACAATGCAACCCATCACTAAAATATAAACTATACCTAAACTAGCTTAATCTAGACTTACTTAGGCTTTAGTCTGTTTTTCTCAAAATAAGTCTAATAAATATAATACGAGCTGACCCTAAAATGTCTTTTATGGCTTAAGTAAAAATTACAGTACTGTTTCTCATCACATATTTAAACAACAAAGGTAAACTGAAGCAAATCTAGTTTAACCCAAATAAGTGATAGAAAACAAGTATAATAAATATGAGAAATAAAACCTTATGCTGCAGAAGCTGACTTGCGTTATAATAAAAATCCACTAATCCTTCTCTGGCCATGTGACATACAAAACTGCACTCTCTCTGAAAGTCTTAGTGATGGGCACATACTGTCGTCCCCAACACTATGAACTAGTAAAAACATTAAGTTTGAGGAACTCCAATGTAGAAAAGCTATTCCATCATCATCTCAAGTAACCAAGCAGATACTTATAAAAATAAACTCAACAAGCCCTGGCCGGTGTGGGTCAATGGTTACAGCTCTGGCCCACACACCAAAAGATCTCTGATTCGATTTCCAGTCAAGGGCATGTACCTGGTTTGCAAGTTCAATCCCTGGCCCCTGATGGGGCATGGGAGGCAACTAATCAATGTGTCTCTCTCACATCAATGTTTCTCTTTCTCTCCTCTCTCGCCCCCCTTCCACCCTCTCTAAAAAAAAAAAAAAATCAATGGAAAAAATATCCTCCAGTGAGGATTATAAAAAATAATGTCATTAAGCCCTGTCCGGTTTGGCTGAGCAGTTAGAGCATCGGCCTGCGGACCAGAGAGTCCTGGGTTCAGTTCCCGCTAAGGGCATGTACCTTGGTTGCAGTTTGTCCCCAGCCCCATTTGGGGTTGTGTGGGTGGCAACTACTTGATGTGTCTCTCACATCAATGTCTCTCTCTCTCTTCCTCCCTCTCTCCCTCCCACTCTATGTGAAGATAAATGCAAAACTGTCCTCAGGTGAGGATAAAAAAATAAATTTAAAAAAAAAGTCATTAAGAAAAAGAAAAGTCATTAAAAACCTGACAGCATAAGAGTCACATCATTTTAAGGAAAGGGATTTTGAATTGACTGCTTGCTAGCCTGCTGAATCTGGAGGACCTCTACCTCTCACTTCTAATTAATCATGGAAGAAAAAGAGTAGACTGATTTGCTTATTCTACCCAAACAAAATGTTTCCTTAACGGAACTCTTAAATATCCAAATAATTTAACCACACAATGCCAGTTACAAGGTAAGACAATGATAAAAACCCAGACCTGCTGTTAAAAGTACAAATTTACAGAATTAGCATATGCCATTTTAAGTATTATCTACTTCTCTAAAAATCACAAGTCTTCATCACTTAGGGAAAAAAACACAAATGTCATTTTTCTTCAAAGGGATGTCAATGCTATGATTTAAAACATTTGAGTTAAACTTTTGGGGTTTTTTCCCCTTCAACCTACTGAATATTTCCCAGTGCCATGTAGTACTTTTATACAAAATATATACTACCTTGGATTACTCAGGGAAAATAACATGACAAATATTGTAGTTATGCAATATAAAAGAGTGCTCTCATTTATAAACAAACCTGGAACACAGAAGGCAGTCAAAAATCTGTCAGTTAATCAAGAGCTCATTTAAAAACGATTCAGTATTTGGTATGTAGAGAAATGGAATGCACAATTTAAGACTGTGAGTTCTTGGAAAAGTGTGATAAGAACTTATTTATCAAAAGACTTTCGTGTTAAATAGTGCCCTTGTACCCTTTTCTAATGCTGTAGGAATACATCAGATTTAAACTTCTCTATTTTCTTCCAGAAACCAGAACAAGTGTAGGGATACAACTACAAATGATCAGTTTAAAAGCAGTTTTAAAAATTGGTGTTTGTGTATTATGAGTCTTACATTCAAAACTAGATCTTTTCCATTCCAAGGTTAATAACCCAGCCAGCTTAAATCAAAGGTTTTTTTTTCATTTAGGCCCTAGCAGAGGGATGACTAACTCAAGCACTTACACTGGGAAGCACTGATCAAAAAAGAATTTCTAGGTCAAAGCTTAAGTTACAAAGGACATGAGTGGCTTCAAATGACTCTTCAACTTACTCCTTTACTGACAGCAATTTATAAATCACACCAAAACAAAATAAAATCTACCTCTTTCCACCCACCCCAATGGCAAGAGCTAACGTGGTCTGAAATATGGTCACTGTAGCTTTTCACTTGAATTCCAGAAGCAATCATGGAAAGTGGGCTGGATCAAGGTCTCTCCATCTCTGCCTTCCCCAATTTTTTTTTTTTTAATCCTCACCCGAGGACATTTTTTTCCATTTTTTGTTCAGATAGAGTGGGAGGGAGAGAGAAGAAGAGAGAGAGAGAGAGAGAGAGAGAGAGAAACATCGACGTGAAAGGGGCACATCGAGTGGCTGCCACCCGCACGACCAACCAGTGCCAGGACAAACTGCAACGGAGGTACACGCCCTTAGCCGGAACCGAACTCGGGTCTCTCTGGACTGCAGGCCAACGCTCCAACCACTGAGCCAAACCGGCCAGGGCTGCCTTCCCCAATTTTTTAGGACCCAGCTAATCAGTGAGCTCACCAATAAAATTATAATAAATTAAAAATATGCTAAGGTAGTCCGGCCAGTATGGCTCAGTGGTTGAGCAACAACCCATGCACCAAGAGGTCACCAGTTTAATTCCCGGTCAGGGCACATGCCCGGGTTGTGGGCCCGATCCCCAGTGGGGGGCATGCAGGAGGTGGCCAATCAATGTTCTCGCTCATCAATGTTTCTATCTCTCTTTCCCTCTCCCTTCCTCTCTCTCTAAAACCAATAAAGGAAAGAGAAAAACATGAAATATGCTAAGGTAAACCAGAGGGCAGGACTGTTAGCCCTTGAGGGAAGAGGACTCTTCACAGAACTAGTGGCTTCTTCAAAGGAAACACTGGTCATTTTTGGTCCTGCAGGTGGTGCTCACCTACTAGAGCACAGGCACAGTTACAGTCACTACTTGATACGAAACGATGTGAAGGTTTGAGAGGATCTCAACTAAATGAATTTAAATGTTTATAAATAGAAATGCTCAGACACTCTTGGTCTGACTTTCTCAAGTCTAAATAGAGAAAAACACATAATACACCTTTCATATCACCCAATACTCAGGAGAATATCCCCGTGATCAGTACCATAAAGTTGTAAGAACTAATCAAAAGTTCACTTCTATTAAAAACTTAACTATGTCAATCTCTTTTCTTTAAATAGCTGTATCTTACAAGACTTCCTTTACATTAAGCCTACAGTCAACAAGTTTGTAACAAGGCATACACAATACATTTTGACCATTAAACAATGGCACAGCCAGCAAACTCCTTTGCCCTAAGATTAGTTTTTATTCCTTTAAATTTGACACTAATTTAGCAGTATTTTTTAAATTTGTTGTTTTTCTCTTAGGCTGACAAAAATCTATCCCCTATCCTGTCCTTAAATTTCAGATTATTCTAACATATTTTTGAAAAGGTTTTGTGTCACTTGCTAAAATCAAATTTTCATCTCTATGGATATACCTTCAAGTTAATTGAAATAATTTTGCAATCCAAAAGTTCAAAACCTAACTCACCCACTTTTAGAAACTTCCTTTACAAATCGCCATTTTACCATGGCCCTAAAAATAACCAAGACACAAAAGTCAGAATAGCTCAAATAATTAATAGCCTGATTATGTGAAGAAAAAACTCTAAATGAGCTCTAGATCCATCTCTTTCTATACCATTTCCCATGACTTTCCCAGACCTAGCTCATTTTACTGGTTTCCCATGTTTAGCTTACTGCTTGTAAGCTAAGGTCTGGCTGAACCAGTATAGAATGTACCAGTCAGCAACATACTGGAAGTTCTGCTGTAATACAACTCATCAGAGTGTAAAATTTGGTGCAGGAGTTGCACCATGGACTCATTCATCCCAAAAGTAAAAGAAGATCCTCATCACAAAGATCTCAACCTAGTCTTAGAATGAACTCTCAAGAATTGTACCCGAGCAAGGGTCCCATAAACTGGACTGACTTAAACCTGTCATTGTCTCTGAACATTCACCAGCCTAGAGGGGAGAGAAAAAAAAACAATCCTCACCTGTAAGAATTTTACAAGTTTAATGTGAAATTAAAAAAAAAAAAAAACAAATAGAAAGAAATCCACTTTCTTTAATGTACAAAATTGTATAAGTAGAAACAAAAGCAAATTAAACACTATCACATGTTTACACCACTATCTAGTTCTTCATATCAACTTCACTATTCAAACAATGGAAAGCAGGTGGCAATTTAGGGGTTGGGAAAGAAACAAAACAAACAAACGTTTCTACCATGTTTATTCTATGCTGTGCAGAGCTGTGCTCACAGAGACGGCCTCTTTCACTTCTCCACTGTGCAGGAGTTCAGTTGTATATAAAATTGAACCTGGATTTTAAAAAGAACAAAAGCTTTATTAAAAACAGTATCTTTTACATAGTTTTTACCTTAGATCAGCTATTTTCAACTTTTTTCATCTCATGGCACACATAAACAAATTACTAAAATTCTGCTGCCCACCAAAAGATATATATTTTGCCAATCTGACCAAAAAAAAAGTAAGTATAATTGTGATTCATTCACATCAGATGGCTATTGTTATGTTGGCTGTTGCCATTTTTTTATTTGACAATCTAAGAGAAAAGAGTTAGTGCCTCTGAGTAAATAGTCAAGTATTGAATGTTTTAAATATTCTTGTGGCACATCAGTTGAAGATTGTTGCATTAGATAATAAAGACATTATTTCTTTGCCCTCCCTTTACATTTTTGGTATAGTCTATACCGAGACACACTTTTCTCTCATCTGTCACATCTTACACATTAAATGTTGTTGAACACTTATAATAATAAAAAAGTGAGTCTAAATTTGATTAATTAGCCACTAATATGTTCCCTGAGGAAAAGTTTTTACACTTCACTGTATTCTGACCACTCGGCACAGTTCCTGACCCGATAGGTGGTGTTTAAATAAATAAATACTATGATTTTTCTTCATATCCCATTCTTCAACTTGTAACCCATCAGCAAATTAAAGCAGAGGAGCAAAAGATGAAGCATGATAGTGTAACAAAATAGAAAGGGCAATTTTACTCAACAAGCTTTCAAAGAAGGCAAAATGACTACTGGAATTGTTTTTAAACTAACATTTATTAAGCACTTACCAGGTACTTGGCACTATTATAAGCACTTTGTGTTATTTCATTTGTTTCTCGAAATTCTACGTAGTGGGCACTACCATCCCCATTTACAGATAAGAAAGAGGCGCCCTGGCCGGTTTGGCTCAGCGATTAGAGCGTTGGCCTGCGGTCCTGAGAGACCCGGGTTCGGTTCCCGCTAAGGGCGCGTACCTCGGTTGCAGCTTGTCCCCGGCCCTGGTCGGTCGTGTGGTGGCAGCCACTCGATGTGTCCCTTTCACATCGATGTTTCTTTCTATCACTTCCTCTCTCTCCCTCCCACTCTATCTGTACAAAAAATGGAAAAATGTCCTCAGGTGAGAATTAAAAAAAAAAAAAAAAGAGGCAGTGGGTATAACTGTGTGTCCATGGTCACATTGTCAGATGTACTGAAGATGGAAATCAAATCCAAACACTGACCGCAGAATCTGTATTCTTAACCATCATGCTATTCTGCTGGGGTGGCTCTAAGGAGCTCAACCAGTATGAGTCAGCTTTAAAAAATGCACTTCTCATCACTCTGCCTTAAAAGAATATTTCTAACTCCATGTAAAAATTCAGGACTTAATCCCACATGTTCCAATTTGGCCCTAAATACAGTAGGTTCCAGAAAGAAAAGAATATATTACACCAAGAGATTCAATCTCCACATTTTCTTTTTTTTAGATAGAGCAGGAGGGAAAGTGGGAGGGATAGAGAGAGAAAAACATTGATGTGAGAGAGACACATCAAGTGGTTGCCACCCACACAACCACAACCGGGGCCAGGGACTAACTGCAACCAAGGTACGTGTCCTTGGCGGGAACCAAACCCAGGACTCGCTGGTCTATAGGCCAATGCTCTAACCGCTGAGCAAAACCAGCCAGGGTCAATCTCCACATTTTCACATAGATAACTCCCTTCATATTTATTGTACATTGCTAACTACTATTTTTCCATCCCTTCTTTGACTGAAGACTTCAAACTTAAATGTAAAGAGTATCAAATTTGGGAAAGAGCAATTACACAAATACCAGAATGTCATGCTGCAAGTCAGGGCCACTTTTAGTCATTCATGTTTAATCTATGGTTTACACATGTCATAAAGGTCCATCTGCTGTCTTAACTTCCTTAAAGACCCAAATCCATGAACTACCCTTTCTCAAGTGACTCAGAGTATTTTAAATCTGGCAGCTTAGATGAATCAACCACAAATGTTCAACATTCCATACCTGCTCAAAAGCTGAGGGAGACTAGAAATGATGGGTCCGTATCCTGGGGCATTGTCATACAATTCAAACAATGGTGCGGCTACCAGCTTGTAATTTTTAGGGACTGCAAACAAGGCTAAAATAAAACAAAGCAGTATTCATTTTCTCTAATTTCTTTTCTTTTTAAATATTTTTTTTAACTTTTTTTAGAGAGAGACGAAGGGAGAGGTAGAGGTGGAGAGAGAGAGAGAGAGAGAGAGAGAGAGACATCAATGCAAGAGCAAAATATCAATCAGTTCAAGCCTGAAACCTGGGCATGTGCCCTGACCAGGAATGGAACTGGCAACCTTTCAATGCATAGGACCATGCCCAACCAACTGGGCCACACTGGCCAGGGCTCTAGTTTCTTCTATAATCACGGCTTCCACTTCATTTGTAAAGTAATTACCAATCTTACATTTGAAAAACATTTGTGGAAAATGATAATTCTCATTAATACATTTTGGTTCTGTCTTTTAAGCAAAGTCCATAGTGAGAGCTTTGAAACTGACTCTCTAAAGAGATCTATGCTATTAACAACCAAGAGCACCTTATATAAGTTTTGGCCCTGGGAGGAAGGGCAGAAGGAATTTGTAATTTATTTTGGATTCTACTTTAAGAGTATTAATAAGAAATGGGATAATTACTTGTTAAAATGCACTACAAGCCTTAAAATGCTATTAAAAAGCCACAACCAATTCACCTGGTATGTTAGGCTCTAGTTCAACTTACTTTTCCCCCAGTGGTATGTGACTGGCACATCTATGAGAAAAACTAGGTAATTCTGTATAAACGTGCTATGTGTTTTTAATTTTATAGTAAATCCAAAAACTCAAGGAACTTGAAGAAAAGACAAATAGAGGTATTTTTTAAAATTACTCTACAGAAGTTTTTAGATAACTGCATTCATAAACAAAATAACTTACCTTTCTCTTGAAGTTGAACCAAAAATAACTTCTTATGTTCCTTCGGTTTTGTAATATGCGCAGGAATATATGGATACTAAAATAACAAAAAAGAATAATTCATTGTTGCCAAGACATCCCTTATACTTCTGTGCCTCTATTTATCAACTTCTCCCATTTCAGACCTTTAACCAAAATAATCAACCCTTTAAGACCAAGTTTCTCATAACCCCAAAATAATTTTATTTTAACATATATCCTATGGCTTCATTTATTTCTGTACATGTGTATTCCTCAATACAGCGCAAACTGCCGAGAGAAATAGAATCCTTTCTAGTCTTCCCTTTACCAGGATCTAGCACCTAACAGATGTACCAATAAAGAAATACTTTAATAAATACAAAACAACAAATAGTGAACTATTCAACCATTTAGGACAAATAAGTAGACACAGGATTTACAGCTTGAGAAATTTACAACACAATGAAAGTCCAGTATCAAGTAGTGCTATTTTATTTTTTAATTTTTTTTCTTTATTGATTTTTAGAGAGAAGAAGGGAGGGGGAGGAGAGAGAGAGAAAGAGAAACATCAATGAGAGAGGATATTGATTGGTTGCTTCCTGCATGCCCTCCTGCATGTGTCAGCCCACAGACCTAGAGAGTCCAGGGTTCAGTTCCCGCTAAGGGCATGTACCTCGGTTGTGGTTTGTCCCCAGCCCCGGTTGGGGTCCTGTCGGTGGCTACCACTTCATGTGTCTCTCTCACATCGATGTTTCTCTCTCTCTTCCTCCCACTCTGTCTAAAGATGGATGCAAAATTGTCCTCAGGTGAGGATTAAAAAAAAAGGGGTGGGGGGACAACCAGACATTATAACATTCCTGATGAAAGTACATAATACCACCCATGATAGCCAACCTCCAAGAAGACCTCCAATGGTCCCCATCTCCTGGTATCCACACCAGTGTCACTGCCTCCCACAATGAACTATGTGGGTTTGTGTGACTGAAAGTACACAGCAGAACTGACAGTATGTCACCACCAATATTAGGTTCTAAAAGACTGCACCTTCCTACTTGGGCACTCTTTCTGTCACTGTTCCCATCTCTTGGATCACAGACTTGGGGGAAGCCAGCTGTCTTACTGGGAGTTGCCCTATGAAGATGCTCTCATGGCAGCTAAGGCCTTAGGTTAACAGCCAAGGAGCTGAGAGGTCTGCTAAGAACCACATATGTGAGCTTGGGATCAGATCCTTAAGCCTCAGTCCAGCCTTGAGATGATGCAATGCCAGCTGACAACTTGACCAAAACTTCACAAGAGACCATGAGCCAGAAACAAGCAGCTAAGCAGCTCCAAGGTACCTGATCCTGAGAAACTAAGATAATAAATGTTTACTGCCCTGGTTGGTTTGGCTCAGCGGTTATAGTGTCAGCCTGCAGACCAAATAGTCTCGGGTTCAATTCCGGTCAAGGGCACGTGCCTCGGTTGAGGTTCGTCCCCAGCCCTGGTCGGGGTCGTGCAGGAGGCAACCAACTGATGTGTGCCTCTTACGCCGATGTTTCTTTCTCTCTCTCTCTCTCTCTCTCTCTCTCTCTCTGTTCCCCACCCCAAGCTGTCTGAATATAAATGGGGAAAAAAAAAAATGCTCTCGGGTGAGGATTAAAAAATAGTAATAATAAAATAAATGTTTCTTGTTTTAGGCTGCTAAGTTTTGGGGTAATATATTAGGCAACAATAAATAAACAATATACCACCTCTGAAAAGTCTCATACCTACCCTCCCAAAAAACTGAGACCAAATCCAATCTATTGATCTAACTATCAATTTACAGGAGAGGATAAAGAGCTACACGTTCAATGACAACAGGGAACGAAATCAGCAACACTAAGGACTTTAAGTAGCCTACTTTCCATTAACAAATAAATTACAAGGGGCGGGGGGGGGGGGGGGGGGGGGGATGGGGGATGGGGGCCCTGGCTAGGTAGCTCAGTTGGTTAGCATCATCCCAATATGCCAAGGTTACAGGTTTGATCCCTGGTCAGGACACAAGGAAGAATTAACAAATGAATGCATAAATGAGTGGAACAACAAATCGATGCTTGTTTCTTTCTCTCTTTTTCTCTTTCTCCCCTCCACCCCTTACTCTCTCTCTTTAAAAAAAAAAAAAAAATCAAGAAAGAAAGAGCAAGCCCTGGCCCGTTTGGCTCAGCAGTTAAAATCAGCCAGAGGACCAAAGGGTTAGATTCCGGTCAAGGGCACATACTTGGGTTTCAGGTTCGATCTCTGGCCCTAGTTGGGGCATGTACGGGAAGCAACCAATCCATGTGTATCTCTCACATTGATGCTTCTCTCTCGTCCCTACCTTCCTTCCACTCTCTCTAAAAAATATCCTCGGATGAGGACTAACAAAGAGGGGAGGGGGAAAGGGAGAGGAGGAGACAGGGAACCAACTAACCATTGAAGGTGGATGACAGGTAACAGGATATATTTACTCTTACTATTTTCCCTATATTTGAAATTTTCCTTTAAAAGAAAAATGCCTGAATTTAAAATGTTTTACCTAAATTAAGGGTAAGAAGAAATTTCGAGTCAAATTCTATATAATCTTTTTAAATGGCTAGAACTAAACCAGTTTCCTACTTCCCCAAATGCACAGCAAACATAACTGAACACTGACCTGAGGAGGTTCAAAATTTGGTCTCCACCAGTTACCAATGCAGTCATCAATGACCCAGTCTTGCAGGACTCCATCTTGACGACCTAGTATCTGTCCAAAAGAAAAGACATGACCAGTAAACAACAAAATATACATACCTGTAATACCCTTCTTCAATGAAAAGAATTTTTTGGAAGCACTCCTAATAGAGACATGCTTTCCATATGGACTTCCTTTCTATAATTTATTACTATGTTTGTCACTCTGCCCAAGACACACTGTTAGTTCAAAACTGGCAATCAATATAACCAGAGAGGATCAATATGTTATTATACCCTGGCTATACGTAAAAAATCAAAGGTAATCAATTACCTATATCAGCCAATGGTATACAGTTTTTATAGAATCAGCTATAGCTTCTGTAAATCACCCACCAAGTTACAAAAATAAGTGTGCAAAATTCACAATTTTCCTTTTTATGATTCTGCATAACATTAAATTTATGTTGTTTTAATCAAAGCTGTACTCTGTTTTAATTAGTCAAAAAATGGTTCTATAAGTTCATAACGACAAAGAGCAGTTGCCTGTCCCATTTCACCCATTATCACTTTCAACTCTTAGCTGTTTACCACAATATTTTTCTTGTTTTTAAACAAATCATTTATCTCATATATTCCATACCCAGTTTCTCCTATTATTAACATCTTACATTAGTATAGCACATTTGTGGCAACTAATGAACCAATGTTAATACCTTATTATTAACTGAAGTCCACACTTTACTCAGATATCCTTGGTTTTAACTAAATTCCTTTTCAGTTCCAGGATCCCATCTAGGATATCACATCGTATTTAGTTGGAGTTAGGGTCCTCTACACGGTTTCTCAGACTTCCCTGGTTTTTTATGATCTTGACAGTTTTGAGGAGTACTGGTTAGGTATTTTGAAGAATATCCCTCAATGATACTGGGGTTATGGATTTGGGGGAGTTAGAAAGGAAGATCACAGGGGTAAAGTGCCATTCTCATCACATCATTTCAAGGGTACATTCTATCAATATGACTTATTGATACTGACCTTGATCACCTGGCTGAGGTAGTGTTTGTCAGGTTTCTCCACTGTAGTTACATTTTTAAAACATTTTTATGACCATTTCTTGATTACTTTTCATTCTTAAAAACCTAAAAAATCCCCACTGATTAACATCCTGTACTGTGGATGAGAACTGAGATCTTAAAACCACATCCCCATTACATACCTTCTCTTCCACTGTCCTACCACTATCAATATTTAAGTCAATATTCAGTATTTAAATTAATGAGTAGTTGAATCAAATACAACAGAGCTAAATGCTTACCAACGACAACTGCATTTCCTCACTTGTACAACTACCCCTTTTTGGAGGAGTTAATAGCTATTCCATTTAATTTGCTATCACTAATTTCATCCCCACATTTTCTACAGAGATTACATTTCTTCTCAACTGCAATATCAATTATTCTATTAGTTTCATTTTTCTTAAGAGACATTTTTCTATCATCTTGCGCCAATCTGTAGATGCTCTCAGCCCTGCTTCATAGCTGGAGTCCTAACTAGGCTTCCCTTTCCCTTTCTCCTGTGCTGCTAAATCTTCTCTATATTCTGAATACTGTATCTTCTTTCTTAGTTTGGTAGTGAATACCCTCCAGTAGCTTCCTGAGAAAAGGTATGAGAGAGAACAGTTTTGGAAACTCTGTATATTTGGGAATAACTTTATTTTACGAACATACTTGATGTAGTTTGATTAGACAGAAAATTCTATGATAGAAATCATGTTCCCTCAGATTTATGAAAGCATGTTTCATGATCTTTTAGTTTCCAGTATTATTTCTGGGAAGTTGATGCCATTTCTGATTTTGAAGCCTGTCTTTAAGCTGTGTCTCTGCTCCCCACCCACCAACTTTGGAAGCTTTTAGGATTTTCTCTTTATCTTCATTGATTTAAAATTTCATGATGCTATGTCTTTGCATGAATCATTTAACATTCATTATAGAGGGCATGCTAGTAGCTCTTTTCAATCTGAACACTTATGCTCTTCGAGTTTGGGAAATTTTCTTGAATTATTACTTTGCAAATTCTTCCTTTTCCTCTGTTCTATTTATCTATACAGTTGACCCTTGAACTCAGGTTTGAATTGCGTGGGTCCACTTACACACAGATTTTTTTCAATAAACATTGTAAATGTATTTTCTCTTATGATTTTCTTTTCTCTAGCTTACTTAACATGAGAATACAGTACATAATATATACAACATACAAAATATGCATTAGTCAACTATTTTATGTAACCAGTAAGGCTTCAGGTCAATAGTAGCCTATTACTGAAGTTTTAGGGGAAGTTAAAAGTTGTATGTAGATTTTAGACCGTGTAGACAGTTGGCACCCTCTAACCCTTGCATTGTTCAATAGTTGACTGTAGTTTATATTGGTCTTTCTAGAATTATCTACTGATTTTATCTATGTTCTAGTTTCTGGTAGATTTATTCAACTCAATCTTTTAACCATATTGAATTTTTCATTCTGCTACCTTTCAAAAATATTCATGAGTTCTTTTTTGTTGGTTGAATAATCTTTTTAATGATACACTGTTGCACAGATGCAATATCTCCTTTATTACACCAAGAATATTAATCATGATTTTTGTTATTGTTGAATTTAGTCTCTGTTGAGTTTCTTTTGCTTCTTTTGATCTCTTTCTTGTTAAGCAGCTTTCTCCAAAGGCCTGGTGATACTTGGATATCTGCTCACAAATAAGGGTAAGCAATAAGATGCTTAACTGTCACCACTGTGAGCACGACGATAGGACTACACTAATTCCTTGGAAGATTCCCAACTGTCATCATCTGGAGAGACTTTGTTTTTGATCAGTCACTTTCTCCAGAAACAAAACCTCCACCTTCAGCCTGGAGTAAAACTAACTGTCAACAAACTATCAGCTTAGTAGGGGAAGCTTAAAAGTTTCACTATTCAGAATGTAAACTTTCACTTATTCTCCCCATCTCAACTTTTTCATCGCTTAATGTTTTATGATTCAATCTCTATAAGAATCAATCACCAGCCAGACTTTGCCTAAATGTAGAGTGGGGAAGACAGATCTAGGTATATAAAAACATCTTACACAGATTGTCAACCAATCCCGTTTTCAGTCCATATATGGCCCTACTTTTCATAGGCACCAGGCAACTCCAATTCCTCAGCCTTTCTAGTGTTCTGCAGTGCTGGGTCCTGAATTGCCCTTCTGAACTGCCCTCCTGCTGGGCTGAAGTTTCTAAGTCAGTTATGATTTGCCCATCTGCCTTCCAGCTTCTAAATAATTTTTGTCATTATCTCATCCTGAACTCCCTCAACCCTACTGGAGTATGATTTTTTCAAAACCCCTTTAGTGCCTTTTTGGTGGAGTTTTGAGAAAGAGTTAAGGTAAGCAGTAGGTTCGATCTATCACATGTAAATAGAAATCCAAAAACAGCACAATATTTAAAATTAATAATGCATTTAAAAGTTACTAGAAAGACCAATAGGTCAAAGTGGTAGAATTATAGGTTACTTTAGTTTTGTTTCTCCTTCCACTTCTCTGTTATCTGCCAAGGTTTTTGCAAAGAATATGTATTAGTTTTGGCCCTGGCCGGTTTGGCTCAGCAGTTAGAGCGTCGGCCTGCGGTCCTGAGAGACCCGGGTTCGGTTCCCGCTAAGGGCGCGTACCTCAGTTGCAGTTTGTCCCCGGCCCTGGTCGGTTGTGCGGGTGGCAGCCACTCGATGTGTCCCTTTCACGTCGATGTTTCTCTCTCTCTCTCTGTTCCTCTCTCTCCCTCCCACTCTACCTGAACAAAAAATGGAAAAGTGTCCTCGGGTGAGGATAAAAAAAAAAAAAAAGAATATGTGTTAGTTTTGTAATTAAGTGAGGGAGGCAGGTTGCATGCTAAAAAAGAAAAACATTTAATAACAAAAACAACCTATAATCTCAAAAACCTCCAGCATCTATGCATTTGTCCCCAAATCTTCAAAGGCAGACATGAGAATGATTTTTAAAAAGCAGTACAGGTGCCCAGCTTGTGTGGCCAGTGGTTGCATGTTGACCCATGCACCAAGAGGTTGCTGGTTCGATTCTCAATCAGGGCACATGCAGGAGGCGGCCAATAAATGTTCTCTCTCATCGATGTTTCTATCTCTCTCTCCCTCTCCCTTCCTCTCTAAAATCAACAAAGGAAAAAAAAATTTAAGAGAGCAGTACAGGTGAGCAAAAACCAAAAGACATGTGCAAAAATGAAAATATGTGTATTAAAAAAATCATTCTCTTGTCAAAATTCTAAAGGCCTACTATGGAACAAAACTACTGGATTCAGAGCTCCAGCTTTACCACACACTAGCTGTATAACATCAACAAGTTACTTAACTCTCTGTGTCTCAGTTTTCTTTTCAGTAAAATAGAGTTAAAACAATACCTACTTCCTAGGGCTACTGTGATAACTAAAGGAGTTATCAGCATATAAAACATTTAGTAGCTGGCACAATAAGTGCCCAACAAATATTGGCTTTTATTAACCATTATTGTTACATAAACATTTCAAGGAGAAATAAGATAAAGTAAGTATAAGTTCAACTTGCAGGAAATAAACATTATGCATACTAACACTCTAGGATTTAAGTTGTATTTATTGAAAAGTAAATAGTCAAAATAAATTTATCCTTTTCTCAAGACATAAAATGCCTAGTTGTCCAGTAAGTGGATGGTATTAATGAGGGCAACAATAAAACCGTCAAAGTGGTTAAATAGACAAATACCTCTGTCATTAAGCGTTTTAGTCCTTCAACTTCATCTTCTCCTGGGTTAAGTTCACCACCAGGTCTGCATAAAGGTTAAGAATTTCAGCTTTCAACTCAATGCAATTTTGAGATAACAGGAAGAACATAATAGTTATTTCTATCAAGTAACTGAATAACACATGTTTCAATGCCACATAATGAGGCAATCAAGAATGTGCTAGAAATAGAAAGCTGAATTCATGTTCATTCACCAGGCTAACAGTACACAAATCCTAATTTTAAACGAACAAAATACAGAACGTAATGTAAACATTACACAACTACTAGCCACAAGTCCATCCCAGGCTCTTTTCTCTGGAAACTATCTAGCAATAGTGAAGTCGAGAAATGCCCGGAGAACAATGAAATACAATCTTTAAGTCTAAAGAACAAGGCATTTTTCCAGAACTCCAACCTAAATAATTGAGGCCTCTCTTTTGGTACAATCTGGTCAAATAGTTGTGAACTAAACATATATCAAGAAATGTATGCCCTGGCCAGTTTTGCTCAGTGGTTAGAGCGTCTGCCTGCGGACAGGAGAGTCCCGGTTCAGTTCCCACTAAGGGCACGTACCTCAGTTGCAGTTTGTCCCTGACCATGGTTGGGGTCGTGTGGGTGGCAACCACTCACTCAGTGTGTCTCTCTCACATGGATGTTTCTTTCTCTCTCTCTCTTTCCCCCCTTTTTCCCCTCCCACTCCATCTGAAGATAAATGTCCTCGGGTGAGGATATTTATAAGAAAAAAAAAAAGAAAGAAATTGATTAGCTTAAATGGTAAAACTAAAAATTTATGTATAATAATGCAAGCCATTTTAAGACTAGGAAACACTATTCATCCTGAGAAATAACATCAATTGTTCTTAGTAATCCTACAATAACAACTAGCAATTGAACTTGGACCAATTTGTTTAACAGGGCTCCTATCAAGCTCAGTCATTAACATCAACCATATACAGAAACATGTAGATTTCTAGTTAGGCAATAAATGAACACTGCCCTGGAGAAAAATTACTTGTGATTTTCTCGTTCTAAAGACTCCGTGAACAGCAATGCTTGTTGAAATAAATGTCTAAGAGCTAAAACTATTACTTCAAAGCTACATAAAACAGCAATCCTATTAAAAGCTGTCTTGTGGTTAATTTCCAACACTTACAGTTTGAAGAAAGTTGTTCCCAGCTGTAGCAGTAGCACATGGGGTAGTCGGTGCTCATGTACAATCAGAACCCCTTCTACAGTCCTCCTCATTCCAATTTTATCAAATTCCTCCCTCATGCGTTGAAATCTGGCTGCAACAGAGCTGTCCTTCTCATAGAGAGGTTCTTTTGTACCAAAAGTATAATTGGTAAGAGGGTACCTGTGATCCAAAGACAAATATTATACATGAGAACTGGAGACTATAATTTACCATAGATACCAACTACATATATTTTAAAAACAATGGTAAAAAGTGTATATATTATACTCAGAAACATAGGGTTTGTCCAAAGTTACACAACTAATGAGAGAGAAGAGACTAGAATCCAGATCTTGGGACTCTAAAACTAAAGCTTTTATTAGATCAAGCCTGCTACTCCACATTTGAACTTTCAAGCAAGCGTAGATAACACTCTTCTTAAGGCCCTTAAATGCTTAGAGAAGTAGTTATCTGGACATATGGTAATTCTCTGGTTTTAGATCACAGCTAGTATAATAACAATGCCAAGCTGTCTCATGTCCCTTTGGATTCCTCCAACTGCTAATCAGAAATTTTATTAATTACAGATGCTAATGGCTAATCTCTTTTTCTACAAGTTGAGCCACAATTTCCATCACCTCTCCTGTGTTTTCTATTTCTCCCAGTCAACTATCTTCAGACATTTTTGATACCACAACCCTTTCCTCTTCAGATGAACTTTTCTTTCCCCTCTAAAACCTTTTAATCTTTCTGCATTTATTTAATTCATTATCCTCATTCAACTCTTCTGCCCACCATACCTAATCTGAATATTTTCTCCTCCTTTCACCTGTAATACTTTCAACAAAAAAGATAAATTTTGTTTAAAAAAAAAAAAAGAATTCAAAATATGGCTCATATTGTTGAAGATAGTTTTTATCTTGTCTAAAGATCACATATTTCTTTAAAAAGTTAAAAATGCCACGTTTATATTTTCATATCACATATCGCCTTGCAACCTCTCAATCATGAGACTCACAGTAAGAAGCCTTTGATTAAGAATGCTTTGACCTGCCCTGGCCGGTTTGGCTCAGCGGTTAGAGCGTCGGCCTGCGGTCCGGAGAAACCCGGGTTCGGTTCCCGCTAAGGGCATGTACCTCGGTTGCAGTTTGTCCCCGGCCCTGGTTGGTCGTGCGGGTGGCAGCCACTCGATGCATCCCTTTCACATCGATGTTTCTCTCTCTCTCTCCCTCCTGCTCTATCTGAACAAAGAATGAAAAAGTGTCCTCGGGTGAGGATAAAAAAAAAAAAAAAAAAAAAGAATGCTTTGACCACATTGCCTATCCCCAAGATATCTATTCTATAAAAATGCCTTAACATTAAGTCTGTAACTACATAACTAACTCCCTCTGCTATTCTTGAAAGGAGAACAAATCAAGGTTGCCAAAACTTAAAACATTAATTCCAGAATCCAAATTCTAAGCATAAATGAAGGAGCTCGAAAATATACCATTTCCAGAGTACATTAAGGATTTTTAGAAAGAACTTCCCCAGTAATCCCAATGCTGAATCTAACATTGTCATCATTAGTAGCAGTAATCTCACACAGCACTAGATGCCAGCAATTTTTTTAAATTATACACACACACACACACACATACACAAAGTTATAAAGAAGCAAGGATAGCCATAACATCTCTACTACAAGAGCCAGCTCTCACATCAATAAGGAGATGCAATAGAGAGGAAATGTAATTTTCAGCTGTGAAATCAGTGCCAGCCCAGATACATACATATTATCTCTCCTAGTTTTTTTGGGTTTTTTTTTATCCTCACCCGAGGACATTTATCCATTTTTTGTACAGACAGAGTGGGAGAGAGAGAGAGGAAGAGAGAGAGAGGGAAACATCGATGTGAAAGGGACACATCGAGTGGCTGCCACCCGCACGACCAACCAGGGCCGGGGACAAACTGCAACCAAGGTACATGCCCTTAGTGGGAACCGAACCCGGGTCTCTCCGGACCGCAGGCGGACGCTCTAACCGCTGAGCCAAACCGGCCATCACACTGTGAGTTTTATAAAGTAAGGACCACATCTTACTTCTTTACCAGTGCCTGGTATAAAATAGGCATTTCTGCAGTATTTCCTAAAGAAAATATATTGGGGGAAAGAGGACTTATTTTCAACTTATATCATTACTCACACATGTAAATTGAGTTTACAACACGATTATTTCTGAATACTGTATTTATATAGGAGAGTAAAAGTACTATAAATCCATCAATCCATAACTTCAATACAGCAAAGATTAAAACATTTTCACCAAGTTAATTCTCCATAATGGCTTAGTGCAAAATGATCCAATATTCAAGGCAAATCAAGGGAAAACTGTGAGCCCTAATTTTAATCACCACTAAAAGTAATCTGGAAGCTGTGCTTTCACATTTTTTTTAAAAGTGGAACAATTTGCCTTTCCCACTCCATGGGAATCTTATGAGGATTTTTAAATGAAGTGATATGAAATTAAAATGTTATTATGTTAACGTAATAGCTGTTCACTTGTATATACACAACTTATCTACTAATGACAGAGTTCATAAAGCCCAACATTTTTACCTAAATTTCCAAGCCAGTACCTGTTTTGCCAAGTAAAACAATAAACATCTTTTCTATTTCAAATCGCTGGGGGGGGGGGGGGATTCGTTTATTTGAATATAAAACGGAGAAAATACCTAAAGTGTCCTACCAAAACACCAATTTCAGTAAACCCTTGCACTTTAACACTGACAAGAATTAAGGGGCCACTTTCCTCCATTAAAGCCTGCATCACAGTGCCTCACAAACTCTCATACTGACCATTTCTTGAGCAAGACACAGCTCAAATGCCAATTACCTGTCACAGCGAGATTACTTGTGAGAGTGACCTGGAAATGCAATGGCTTTAAATGCTTAAACCGAAAAGCGTAGATCACAAAACGCAGCCACAGCGGGTCCCCTGGGGTTACACTAGACTCCTCCAAGGTCTGAAAGCCCGGGAACAGCACCGACCCTCCCAGGTGGGGCCTACTCGGCGACAGGACGCTCTCCCCGCGGCCAGCTTGCCCTAAGCACACGAATGTTCGTGAGCTGAAATGCAATACAGCAGTTAGAGAGGAAAAACTAAAGCTACGCGTTATAACCAGGTCTTGCAAGCGTACTGTTAGAAAGATGAACACCACGTTTCGCTGTTATCTCCGGGGAGATGGAAGAAAGGATGAGTTCAAAGCACACTAGGGTTCTTCCCATGACTGAATATAGGGGCAGGGGAGCAAGCCTTCTTTCCGGAAAAAGGAAAACCCTCTCAAGTAGGACTCTAACCCCCTGGCTCCGGAGAACAAGGGGCCTGTAGGAGGGAGAAAGGCGCGCACTCGCAAATGGGGGTGGGGGTGGGGGAGGGGGAGGCGTGGAGCCTACGCGGGCCGGGGGGCGCGCCGGAAGAAGCTCGGAGTCTTTAGCCGCGCTCCCTGAAGGGTCAGCCGGCGAAGGCAGCGCGGGAAGGCCAGGCCGCACTTACAGGTTGATAGTGCGCTCCAAGGTGAGGGGCTTGGTCTGCTGGATGTACTTGTTGCCGAACTGGTTGACCCCCCGGGGCCAGCCGGTCTGCGAGCGATTGGGCGGCACCACGGACATGTTGGCGAGTAGTGGCGGTGAGCGGAAAGGGGGAGAGGCAGGGAGACTTTCCCGGTGCGGGCAGCGGTTATCTGCGTCCCTGTCAGCAGCCGCCGCCCGCCATTAACATGAGAACGCAAGAGGAGGCGTACGTACGCCGGAAGTGCATCCAGAGCCTCGGGCGGCAGGAAGTAGAGAGGCGGTGGCCAACCTAGCCGAGAACCATTGGTCGCAATATCTGGAGCTCCCATTGGTAAACCAGGTTTGGGTTCCGCCTCCTCTTACTTTGGTACTTCCTATTGGATGGCGCTGGGAAAGAGCGCATTCTGGGAGTTATAGTCACCGAAGGAATATAGCTGCTTGAACTGTGTGGCGTGGGTTTGTACCTTAGGAGGAGATGAATGGGAAACGGCCAGCTGAGCCCAACCCGGGCCGAACGGGGAAAAAGAGAAAGAAGGAGGTGATGGTGGACTTTTCGGACGCTGTCACGGAGCGAATCTTGAAAGAGCAGGTGGCTGAGGCCTGGAGCCGCAGGACGCCCTTCAGTCACGGTAACCGGGTGCTATGAAGGGGGAGCCGCTGCGCGGGATCAGGAGGCCTCTGAAAGTCCTAGCACTCGAGCGGGAGCACAAGCATAGAGGCGTTGGAGAGAGCGTGACTTTAGCCACCTCCCACCCTCCTGCCTGTCCTGCTGCCCTAGTTTCATTCCAAGTTCAGTTTGGATCTAGAAACCCGAGAAAGGAAGAAATGTAGGCCGGAGAGTTTTGGGAAGTAGAGGGCGTGAAAGTTCATCAATGAATTTTGGAATCAAGGACTACTGAGTTTAAATCCTTAACTGGTTGTGCGTCGTTAGCAGTGGGTTAACTTATTAAAACCATTTCCTTCCTATGTAAAATGTGATAGCTAATAAATACTATGTACCTCTTAAAGAAGTTGAATGAGATTAGTAAACTAATGCACGTATGTTTCTATGAATGTTTTCCTGAAGAAGAACCGGTATACATTTGGACACGTATTTGGGTGTCTTAAATGATATTTTCCTCTTAAGATAATGCTTGGTTGTCCTATGATAGTGTAGCCAGAGCATTTGAGCTGCTAGTAGCCGGCACCTGAGCATCTTGGTATTTTATGTCAATATAGTTCAACTACATGACCTATGAAAGCAAACGTGTGTTGCTTGAGGAAGGAACCTACAATGAACGATTCCAACTTCAGTTTCACATATAACCTTATAGGATAAGAAAGTGGCTTAGTGCGTCATTCTTTCCCCTCTAAAGTTTGCCATGATTTTTGTTCAGTGAAGTGTTTTGAAAAGGGGAGTACTGGAAGCTCTGAATACACATAGAAAGTGATAGCCCCCAGATGTAGACAGCTGCCTAGGTTGTCTTAGACCTAGGCAAGGGTTACACTGCTAGGAAAACAGCAGTCAGTAGCTGGTTGGCATTCGGGACCTGGTTCATGCCAACACTGTTGTTAACTATACCAGGATGCATTGTTAAAAAAGAAAGCCCAGCTGGTGTGGCCCAGTAGTTGAGAGTCGACCCATGCACCAAAAGGTCTCCAGTTCAATTCCCGGTGAGGGCACATGCCCAGGTTGTGGGCCTGATCCCCAGTGGGGGCATGCAGGAGGCGGCTAATCGATGTTCTCTCTCATCAATGTTTCTGTCTCTCTCTCCCTCTCCCTTCCTCTCTCTTTCAAATCAATAAAGAAAAAAAAATTTAAAAAAAAGAAAGTGATAGCTCAGTGTTTAAAGTATAAGCTCTGTACACTCAGGGACTTCTCAATTTCCTCATTTGGGGGATGGAGGTAGTGATCATGTCTACCTTAGAGTTGTGGAGAAGATTAAATGAGATAATACATGCAAAGTACCACTGTGTTTGGCACTTTGTAGGTGGTGGTAGTGATTATTAGAGGGGTACATAATCTAACCCACCAGAGGAAGTGGGTAAAATGTTGAAATAGAAGTCAAGGAATTAAAAGGGGTTATGCCTGAACTGTTTGTTTGTTTGTTTGTTTGTTTGTTTGTTTGTTTGTTTTAAGGCCTAATATTTTAAGCACAGTATCATTAAAAAGTTGTATTGAGTGGGTAAAGAAAAAAGGGAAGAGCTTATAATTCTTTCCCCAAATCTTAGACTTTAGATACTACGTTTCTGAAAATTCATGACCATTCCCTTTACTATTCTCTGTACGATGCTACTCAGGGGTCAAAAATACAAAAGAAAAATAAGCCATAATGTTTTCTTTCCAACAGAAGCCATTGTCATGGAAATGGACCCCTTTCTTCACTGTGTGATCCCAAACTTCATCCCAAGCCAAAACTTCTTGGAAGGGCTTCAGAAGGAACTTTTGAACTTGGACTTTCATGAAAAGTATAATGATTTATATAAGTTCCAGCAGGTATTTATACCCTTTTCCATTAGTTCTTCCACTTCAGAAACTTGTTATTTGCAAAAATCATTCATTACCTTTAGACTTGAGGTTTTAGATCATGTTTGCCTTAGAGGGTCCTTGCCTTGATCTTGTTAAAAGCATTCATTCATTTAACATAAGTTTGCTGAGTGAGTGTTAACTAAGTGTTAGGTGCTATAATTATTATATGGGAGTTTTTGCCAATTTCTGCCATGTAAGACTTTAAAACCTAAAATAATAGAGGGGATAGTGATGGTGACAGTCAAGAAATATGGTAAGCCAATAAATAAGTACATTAAGCACATTTGGGGGAGTATACTTAAGAGAGTTGTACATTGGAAGATAATAACCATTTAAATTTTTGAGTTTGTGTCTTGATGTATTAAGTGGCGTGATGTATTGCAGCATGCTCTCCATTGCAGTATGTTCTATATTGCGCACTTTCAGATGGTTAAAATGATCACTCTGTTATATGAATTTTATCTCGTGAATTATGTCTTCAGAGCTCGGGCTCTTAACCACAGTGCTAGACTGCCAGAGTGCTCACTAAACTCCTGTGTGTATCTCACATATGAAGGAAATCTGTTTGTTCTCTTTTCATGATCAAGTCTGATGATTTGAAGAAGAGAAGAGAGCCTCATATCTGTGCTTTAAGGTAAACAAGTAATCATATTTGCAGGGTGCCTAATATGTGCCAGGCTGACTAATAAATGCTTTATCTGTTGACATTATTATCCCATTTTGTAGAGGAGGAAGCAGACTCTGAGAAATTAAGTAACTTCTTCAAGGCCACCTAGGTAAAAATCAAAGGAGCTAGATACAAACCCGAGTCTGTCTGATTCCACTGTCCACATTTTCGATGATAAAATGTTTCACTTTGTTAGTAATCAAAGAAACAAGTTAACATTAAAGGTACCATTCTTCACATAATAGGTTGGCAAATATTAAAAACAAAAACTCCAGTGTTAACAGAAGTTTAGATACCTTTCTACACTGCTGCAGTGTTTCTTAGAAGTGGTTTTGAAAGATGTATCAAAACCCTTAAACTTAGGCTTGTGATTTTGTAGTGTAATTCTACTTATAAGAATTTATCCTGAGAAAATAATTAATGATGTGTTCTGGGAACATTAGTCCTAAACTATGCAATTTTAAAATGAGGAAGACTCTGGGGAATGGATCTCTTAAATAAACTGCAACTTCCAGGGAAAAAAAACAATGTGTCATATACCCAAATGTAGTCCATACTATGGCATAACAAGTTATCTTGTTTGCATTTCTAGGAAAATTCTGTTTGAAGATTTCCGGGCTTGGCTTTCCGACATTTCCAAGATTGAGTTGGAATCAACCATTGACATGTCCTGTGCTAAATATGAATTCTCAGGTAAGAAAGATAAAACCCTGAGTCTGTAAGATTTAAAGGCTTTAACTAAACAAGAGTAGAAAGATAGTATCTAGTGTCCCTATATGTCATTAGGATCTTAATAAGGAAGATCTGACCCAACTCACATACATAAATGCTTATGATATTGGAAGGTACAAGGCAGTGGTTCTCTTTGGGAATATGGTGAAGGCTATTGACCATATTTTCAGAAAAATGCTAATAATGCATGTATATACCAACTTTCCATACATTATGGGGAAATTCAGAGGTGATAGTGTAAACTTTCCTCTTAGACTTCTTAGGGAACAAATGTCTCCTTTAATGTCATTTTTTCTTTTTTCTCTTTTAAAAATTTTTGAAGGTAGTAAAGTAAGTGAATACACTCTTAAGGAAAAATATTCAAATAATATAGAAATATACAGTATAAACCTTGATTGTCCCCTTTACCTGTTCCTTGTCCACCCCCACCCCCCACCCCCATCCCTTTCTCTTCAGTGGTATCCATTGTCACCAGTTTGGGGTCCCAGTTCCCTTTCTGAGCATATACATGTCTTTTTTTTTTTTTAATCCTCACCTGAGGATACTTTTCCATTTATCTTCAGATAGAGTGGGAGGGAGAGAGAGAAAGAGAAAGAAACATCCATGTGAGAGAGACACATCGGTTGGTTGCCTCCTCATGACCCCGACCAGGGCTGGGACCAAATCGCAACCGAGGTACGCGCCCTTGACCAGAATCGAACGCACAACTTTTTGGTCAGCAGGCAACGCTCTAACCGCTGAGCCAAACCGGCCAGGGCATATACATGTCTTTTTGAAAACATTTGATATTTTTTTGCCTGGAAGGAAAAATGTTGGGTTTTGTTTTGATTTGGGTTTAATTTCTGTCCTGGAAGTTTAACTTGATAACTTTTTGAGGATAATTCAGTGATATAAATGAGGAGTCATATTAAATGCCCTTTTTTATTTGTAGTTATTTCACATTTATTTTCTTTATCATTAGAAACACACCTAACATCAATACATTTCTTTAAGTAGATTACTTTAAAAGGTGTCTTAAACACACTTTCCTGAAAATTTAGATAACTGGGCTTCCTGAACAGTGACAGAAAAACTACATTGTAGTGTGTTTTCCTCATAACCTTTCCGTCTACAGTTCCAAGAAAAATCCAGACATACATAGATTTACTAACACCTCTTAAAAGAGAGAAAGAGAAATGTCAAAGTGTGTCCCCACAAACCTCCTTTACATTTCTAGAAAAGAATATCTATGTAAACATGGTAGTTTCCAACATACTTTTGTTCATCCAGACTAAGATCCTGTCACTAACATTCCAAAAATCAGAACTCTTTAAAATATGTGAAACAAAAAAAATATGGAACACTTCACGAATTTGCATGTCATCCTTGCTCAGGAGCCATGCTAACTAATCTCTGTATCATACAAATTTTAGTATATGTGCTGCCAAAGCGAGCACTATATGCCTTTTTAACTTTTATTTTTTTTCTTTTTAACATGAAGTAATTTCAAACTTATAGAGAAGTGGCTCGCTAGTACAAATCACTTTTTCCTATTTAACTTGAAAGTAGGTTACGGTTATGATGCTCCATGAATAACTTCAGTAATTCCTACAACAAGGACATTCTCCTACGTGATAGTAATAAACCCTCAAAACAGAAAATTAAGATTGATGCATTATTTCCTTCTAATCCACCAGCTCCATTTAGTGCCATTATTTGGTCCTATACAACAAAAGGATCCAGGCCAGGACTGCACATCACATTTACTTGTCATATCTCTTTAGTCTCCCTCAATCTAGAACAGCTCCTCTGTCTCTCCTTGATTTTCATGATCTTGATGCTGCTGAAGAACTACAGAGGAGTTATTTTGTAAAACTTCCCTCAGTTTGGGTTTCTCTGGTGCTTCCTCAGGATTAGATTCAAGCCATGCATTTTTGGCAGGGATATTACAGAATTTTGTGTTCTTTTTACTACACCCTATCAAGTGGTACAGTTTCTATGTGTTAATAATGTTGCCACTTAATTACGGTGGTGGCTGACATCAAGTTTTTCTATAGTGAACTTGTCCTTTTTCTGTTTGTAAGTTAACTATTTTGTGGGAAGATACTTGAAGATTATGTAAAGTTCCCACTTCTCATCTAACTTTTACTTGTTTTATTTTTATTTTTTTTTATTTATTTATTTTTTTTATCCTCACCGGAGGACATTTTTCCATTTTTTGTTCAGGTAGAGTGGGAGGGAGAGAGAGGAACAGAGAGAGGGAGAGAAACATCGACGTGAAAGGGACACATCGAGTGGCTGCCACCCGCACAACCGACCAGGGTCGGGGACAAACTGCAACCGAGGTACATGCCCTTAGCGGGAACCGAACCCGGGTCTCTCAGGACCGCAGGCCGACGCTCTAACCGCTGAGCCAACTTTTACTTGTTTTAACATCCACTGATGTTTCTTGCTAAATTATTACTATGTAGGTTGCCAAATGGTGATTTCTGCAATAAAGTCATTTCTTCTACTGTAAGACAACCTTTTCCTCTCCCCATTTATTTATTTATTCATTTATTTATGTTAGTGTGAATTTCTGGATTACAATTTATGTAATGGGCTGTTGTCACTTAAAGTGACGTTCATTTTATTCGATTTGATCAAGGGAGACCTTTAAACTGACTTGTGTCCTTTAGATATGTTTTTGCTACTAGGGTATCATTGCTCCTGGACCCTTTGAGTGGAAGAAAATAGCAAATATATGTATGTATGTACATACTCATATGTACACGTAAACATACATTTACATGTGTTTGTATTTCTGTGTAGATATCTTTGTGAATATATTTGTGAGACTAAATTCACACTGATTCCTCCAGTTCCAGTTCAACACCATAGGGTTCATTCTAGAGTTCTCCTTTTCCATATTTGTAATTCTCTTCTTCAACAGTGAAAAACCTGAGTTCTGTTATCTTCAATAAGTTTATTTATCAAAACAGTCCCTCTACATGTGAATGATTTCATTTCACCACAGCATCCCTTCCTCTCTCATCCTGCATGGCTCCTACCTTGCTCAGCCCCACCTCATAGGTTTTAGAAGTTCAACTCAAGAAATTAATTGGAACAAGTACAAAAAGATCTTTCTGCAGTAGTAGCCATTGAAACATTCTTTCTTAATAGACAAGAAATTAACATAGATTTATAGGGGGAGAGAGGTTATTCATAATCCATAGAGTAGAATAACTATGCAGCCATTAAAAGAGATGACAAGTATATATATATATATATATATATATATATATATATATATACACACACATATATATATGTATATATGTATATACACACACACACTGATATGGAAACACACTTGCTATGTAGTAAAAAACAAAAACAAAAAAACAGCCAGTGTGACTCAGTGGTTGAGCATCAACCCATACACCAAAAGGCTGCCGGTTCAATTCCTGGTCAGGGCACATGCCCAGGTTGTGGACTCGATCCCCAGTGGGAGGGCATGCAGGAGGAGGCCAATTGATGTTCTTTCTCATCAATGCTTCTATCTTCCTCTCCCTGCCTCTTTCTAAAATCATTAAAGAAAAAAATTATTAAAAAAAAAAGCAGACCACAAAACAACCACTGAGGATACTATATTTTTCAAAAGCAAATACATGTATGTAGAAAAAATATTGGAATATGTAAAAATATTGTTAGTGATTCTCTCTGGGCCTAACCACTTATGTACTCTTCCGTGTTTTTAGAGTTGACAGTTTTATTTCTATAATTGTAAAAGAGGAGAAATCAGTGTCATTTTTTAAGGCTGGAGGAGCTGACATTACAGGTGAATGTCAGATGGGCTGACATAAATGCAGGGTCAGGTCCCAGCTGCTCCTTGTCTGCACAGGGATATGCAGCTGTGCATTCAACTTACAGATGCCCTTCTCTGCCATGATGATGAGCTGGAGGGGCGCCGGATCGCCTTCATTCTTTACCTGGTTCCTCCCTGGGACAGGAGCTTGGGGGGCACCCTGGACCTATACAACGTTGATGGTAAGACATGTGCTGCTCTTCAACACCCGTAGCCACTTCCCCATCCTTATGCACAATGTCTGTACTCCTCCAAGGAGATGGCAGCCACTGATTACAGTGACTACTGTAGAAGTAATTAATGCCAGCCCTGACAGCCACCTCCCTAAGTTGTACTTGAGATAATCATCACTCCGAGATAAGTTAGTTGATTTAGATGAGGAGTATTCAGACCTGACTTCTGAATATGGACTGTGGAAGGGTAGTAGAGAGCGTGTTCAGCTGCCTATGGCTCTGAGTCTGCCGGGACCTATCCATTTGATAGGAAGTTGGGTTATCGTAATGACTAACCCCCGAGGGTGACTCCAGGAAACTTTCAGCCCTCATCCAAATAACAGAGGGCCTGGCCAGTGTGGCTCATTGGTTGAGCATCCACCCATGCATCAAGAGTTCGCCAGTTCGATTCCCAGTCAGGACACATGCCCAGGTTATGGGCGTGATCCCCATTGGAGGTGTGCAGGAAGCAGCCAATCGATGTTTCTATCTCTCTCTCTCCCTTTCTCTCTGTAAAATCAATCTAAAAAAAATAATAGAGGAATAGTATAAAGAAGAACAGCTGTCACCTGGCAGAACTAGCAAATATAAGTGAAACAGCTGGAAGGGGTAGTGTTTTAGGATTGGAAGGGTATATACCCTTAGAAATCTGCGGATTGTCAGGATGAAACAAGGTGGTCTGGAAGTGGTAAATGATAATGACATATTTATGGATGTGTTCTCTCCTGATGCAGAACACTTTCAGCCGAAGCAGATTGTCAAGTCTCTTATCCCTTCATGGAACACACTGGTTTTCTTTGAGGTCTCTCCGGTGTCCTTTCACCAGGTAAAGATTGTGAGCTGCAGATGTGTACAGCACTAAAGATCATGCCTTTTAGTCACCCATTATCTGAACATGACAGCTTCCTGTTGGACTTACCTGGCCAGATTGTTTTCATACCGAACCCGAAGAATCCCTAAGTTAATGTGCCTTGGCTGGTAATCTCCCTCCTTGTGCTTCAGGTTGATGTGCCGCTTGTCTTGTCCTTTCAGGTGTCTGAAGTCCTGTCTGAAGAAAAGTCGCGTCTGTCTATAAGTGGCTGGTTTCATGGTCCTTCACTGACCAGGCCTCCCAACTACTTTGAACCTCCCATACCTCGGAGCCCTCATATCCCGAAAGATGTAAGGATAAATGCCTGTTGTTAGATTCTTATTTTAGCAGCTGTAGCATATCATTTGTTTTTGTGGTTTTGAAAGTGCCTATTCCTGATAATGAAACTAGACTTTGAGCTTTCCCTTCTTTTTCTTAGATAACTGTGGACAGTGTCCTTCTCAGGCAGTTTCCTAGCACTTTAGGTTGAACAGGGAGACAATTCCAAATTGAGGATTTGTACAAGCTATTTTACTATTTGAAATGATGTGAGAACAAAAGTAATAGGAATTAACTCACTTTTTGTATGTGCTGCTTCTTTGTAAGCATGAAATTTTGTATGAGTGGATCAACCCTACTTATCTGGACATGGATTATCAAATTCAAATTCAAGAAGAGTTTGAACAACAGTCTGAAATCCTCCTAAAGGAGTTCCTTAAGGTAGGTCCACACATCCTGTCCAGTATGTCTTGTTTTGGCGTACAATCTCGTTTCTTGGATGGGTGAGTAGACATCAGCAAAAGGGTTTTTTTGTTTTGTTTTGTTCCTAGTTGGAATGTTTATGTCATCCTCTACTTCAAATAAAATATAGAAATGATGTTAATAAATAACATTAGTATCTTAGTGGGTTAAGAGTCCCTTGGATATTCCCGTTCTCTAGAATCTTAACAGTACACACACACACACACACACAAGGGAGGGGGTGTCTTCTATACCAAGAGAGAGTTGTGTGTCATTCCCTTCTTACTCATCTGATGATTATGGTGTGTACTGTGACTTTTAGTGATAGATTGCTAATTGATCAGCACCTATTGATAAGTGTTTGGCAGTGATGAGGCAGCACATTATAGTGGAGAAAGAGCAAGAACAGAAGTCAGATAACCTTATATTCTTGTCCTGGCTCTGATTTACTAGTTTGACCAAATCACTCAATCCCTCTGAGCTTTATTTATTTATTTATTTACTTATTTTTGTTTTCTTCAGATAGAGTGGGGGGGGGGGAGAGAAACATTGATGTGAGAGAGACATCGACTGGTTGCCACCCACACAATCCCAACCGGGGTGGGGACAAACTGCAACTGAGGTACATGCCCTTAGCGGGAACTGAACCCGGGACTCTCTGGTCCATGGGCCAATGCTCCAACTGCTGAGCCAAACCGGCCAGGGCCCCTCTGAGCTTTAAACCTGCCTTGTCCATCTTGAAGAGTGGTGAAGGCTAGACGAGATCATGTATGCGGTGCTTCACAGTTGACCCTGAGTCCCTTGGCA